AACTTGTGTTTTAAGTATATTTTTTGGCCAGAAGGCTGGTGTTTAAACTGCTACACCTCTAGTCTTTTTCCTGGTGGGGATACCTTCTAATAATCTAGGCTCCAGCTCTTACTATTCAATTTGGCTAATAGCTGAACTGGGTGAATAAATGTGGGGAATTTGAGCCAGTGTTCATTCTCTCATGTCATTCCTTCATGCATTAGACAAATATTTATTTTACACCTACTATGCATCCATCGCTGTGCTAGGCGCTGAAAATGAAAGGACAAAAATTAAGCCATTTCTGCCCTTGTGTGAATGACCCTTGCTGAAGCCTGGTTGTTGCCATGTAAGCAGCCACTTCTGGGTCCTAGATGATTTTTTTTAATCCCAAGTTCACTTTCCAGTACATACACTGATGCCAAGGTAGACTTCCAGATTCAAGAGTGTTGGAGAAGGGACTCCAATGAGCTGACTTCAATTGATGTAAAAAAAAATTAAATTTGCTTTGGAAAATGTACCAATAGAAAAAGTGCTGCACTGCACAGCTGTCCAATTTTTTTGTTCAGTCATTTTTTTCAGCCATGTCTGACTCTTCATGACCCTAATTGGGGTTTTCTTGGCAAAATACTGGAGTGATTTGCCATTTCCTTTTTCAGCTCATTTTGCAGTTGAGTAACGAAGGCAAACAGGATTAAATGACTTGCCCAGAGTCACACAGCTAGTTCAGTGTCTAAAGCCAGATTTGAATTTGTGAAGATGGATCTTCCTGACTTTGGAACCGGCACTCTATCCACAGAGCCATCTAACTGCATCAGCTGTCCAATAGTTACTTAAATTATCAATGGCAAGGACAAGAATGACACATGTAAATATCAGAGGATGATGCCAGGTGTATTATGTTTGAAAGAAAGGGGCATAGAGAAAGTATATTAGAACTGGAAGGAAGCTCAGAGATTTTCTAGTCTAACACTGTGCCCCTCTCACTCTCAATAATCACTTTAAAGAAAAGGAAATTAACTCATAGAGAAATGAGGTGACTTGCCCATGATCTCAAATTCATGTCTTTTGACTGTCTGGCTAGGGCTCTTTCCACTCTACCATACTGGCTCAAACAGAGACAACTTTAGAAGTTTGGGAATTTTGTTCAGTCCAACAGGAAATAGAAAACCCCAGAACCCCACCCATGCTAATAATGTGCTACAATTAAGGATGTTTAGAAGACTGAAAGTCAGTGTATTTACTGGTCTCTGTCAGCAGCACAGATGTGTCAGGCACATAGGAAGCACTTAATAAATGTTTGTTGATTGATTATTAGAACTGTATGTACAAACATTCTAGCTATCTTCACAGAGCTAAGGAATCAAACTTTTTGGACTCTTTGGGGGGAAGGAAGGGAGTACACATCTATAGCAGTAACAGAACTGTTAAAGAGCAAGAAGCCCATTTTTGTGGGTTGATGATGCCGAAACATTCAGCCACCGATCTCCCTGATCTCTAAGGAAACTGGGGCTTGGAGGGAAAAAAAATCTTCAACAGTACAAAAATGCAGCACCAACCAAAAGGTGCATTTAATTATGAAGAGCAATCATCCACTACAGCAGCGTATCCAGGAGTTATATTACTGTGTATTGATAATGTTATTCTGAAAATCCATTGGTCAGGATAAGCTTATTTGAAGTGGCCCTGAAGCAACACTGGGCTTATTTGAAATTATTTGGCATGACTCAAGGAACCATGGGACTTCTTTGTGACATAGCTGTCAGGAAAGATGATTCCCCTGAACAACAAACAAAATCCTTGACTTGGCATTCAAGGCCCTCCACAATCGGATATCAATCTGAGTTTTCAGCATCGTCTTACATGCTTTGAAGAATAACAACTAATTTATCTATTTCTTTCAGGCTTGCAAAGCATTTTCTTCACAACAACCTTGTAAATCCAATGCTGATGAAAATGAAGATGAGAAAAGAGAACTGGTTTGCCCACAGTCACATACCTAGGAAATGAGAAGCTTATCGTGGAGTAAACTTGTACTGGATTTAGGGTCAGGAAGAACTACATTTGAATTCAGTCTCAGAAATGTAATAGCTCTGGGACCTCAGGCAAGTTATCAATCTCTCTTGGACTCAATTGCCTCATCTTGAAAAGAATAACAGCTATTATTTAGATAGTCCTCTAAAGTTTGCCTTACCTATGTTGTCATTTGATCCTTACAACAACCTTGTGACACAGGTGCTATTATTATCCCCAGTTTTATAGATAAGGAAGAAGGAGGCACAGAAAAGTTAAGTGATTTGTCCAGGTTTACCCAGTCAGAGAACGTCTGAGATAGGATTCAAACTCAATTCTTTGTAATTCCAAGTCCTGTGATCTATCCATTGCACCACCTAGCTGGAAGGTAAATGCTATTAAAAGAATAACATATATCTCACAGGTTGCTGTGGCAATTGAATGAGTCACATACCCTCCTTAGGCCTCATTTCCTCATTTGTAAAATGATAGTGTTTCTACTAGAGGGCCTCTGAGGACCTTTCCAGCACTAAATCTATGATCCCGCCTATGTCAGGTAATTTTTTTCATTTTTATTTTCAGTTCTAGATTCTCTCCCTCCCTCCACCTCCTCCCCCACCCATTGAGAAGGCAAAAAGTATGATACCAATTACATGTATGATGTCATGCAAAACTTATTTCTACATTAGCCATATCACCAAAAAAGCAAGAAAATTAAAGTGAAAAAATATTCTTCAAACCGTACTCAGAGTTCATCAGTTCTCTGAAGGTTGATAGCATTTTTTATCACAAGCACTTTGGAATTGCTGTAGATCATTGTATTGATCAAAATAGCTAAGTCTTTCACAGTTGATTATCATTATAATATTGCTGTTACTGTGTATAATATTCTACTAGTTCTACCCATTTGATTTTGCATCAATTCACAAAAGTCTTCCCAGGTTTTTCTGAAGTCATCCCCTTTGCCATTTATAACAGCACAATAATATTCTATACCAATCATATTCCACAACTTGTTTAGCTGTTTCACAATAGAAGGGCATCTCCTTAATTTCTAATTCTTTGCCTCCACAAAAAGAACTACTATTAATATTTTTGTATGTATAGGTCCCTTTTTCTTTTTGATCTCTTTGGGATACAGACCTGGTAGTGGTACTGTTGGATTAAAGGGTATGCACAGTTTGGTTTCAAATTGTCAACCATTTTACCTCTCATGATCCTCTCCGTATCTTATTTGGTCATGAACTCTTCCTTTATCCATAGATCTGTCAGATAATTTTTCCATGCTTCTCTAATTTGCTTATGATATCACCTTTTATGTCTAAATCACGAAATCATTTTGAACTCACCTTCATATATGGTGTGAGATGTTGGTCTATGTCTAGTTTCTACCAGATTGCTTTCCAGTATTCCCAGCAGTTTTTGTCCAATAGTGAATTCTTGCCTTAATAGCTAGGACCTTTGGGTTTATCAGACACTGGGTTATGGTGGTCATTTACTTAACTTATTCCATTAATCAACCACTCTATTTCTTATCCAGTACCAGATTCTTTTGATGACTACTACTTCATAGGATAGTTTGAGAACTGATACTTCTAGGCTACTTCCTTTCACTTTTTTGGATTGATTCCCTTGATATTCTGGATCTGTAATTATTTTTTCTTGTCTTATTGCTATAGCTAGCATTTCTAGTTTGATATTGCAAAATAATGGAGGTAATGGACATACTTTCTTCACCCCTGATTTTATTGGAAAGGCTTCTCATTTATCCCCATTACAGAGAATGCTTGCTTTTGGTTTTAGAAAGATACGACTTATCATTTTAAGAAAAGTTCCATTTTTCCTAAACTTTCTAGTTCTTTTAATATAAATTGGCATTGTATTTTGTCAAAAGCTTTTTCTGCATCTTTTATTATAAATATATGATTTTTGTTGTTTTGTTATTGGTATAGACAGTTATGCTTATGGTTTTCCTAATACTGAATCAGCCCTGCATTCCTGGTACAAATCCAGCCTGGTCATACCATATGATCTTTGTGGCATATAGCTTTAGTCTTCTTGCTAGTATTTTATTTAAAATTTTTGTGTCAATATTTATTAGGGAACTTGCTGTATAGTTTTCTTTTTATGTTTTTGCTCTTCCATTTCTGTTTTTGCTTTCCCTCAGGCACTTTATACATTAAGCTAGGTGATACAGTGGATAGAACACCAGGCCTAGAATTAGAAGACCTGAGTTCAAATTCAGCCTCAGAGACTTATCAGCTGTGTGACCTGGATAAGTCACAAACTTTGCCTTAGTTTCCTCATCTGTAAAATGGAGATAATAGCACCTACCTCTTAGGGTTATTATGGATCAAATGAGAGAATATATAAAGCTCTTTGAAAATCTTAAAGAGTTATATAAATGCTTTTTTTTTTCACCCACGTCCAACTCTTTGTGACTTCATTTGGGTTTTTCTGGTAGCTATGATTATTATTTATTAGGTGTTGGATGTGTAGCTCAAATGGGTCTGCCATTCATTGGCTTTGTGTTCTTCAGCAAATCATTTCCCCTCAAAGCTTCCCATTGCCAAAGTCTTTCTGACTTAGATCAGGAAGAAGTGAATTCAAATCTAACCTAGCTATGTGACCTGTGGCAAGTTTTCTTTATCTTTACAGCCATAATTCTTCACTAGGTACCTCAAAAGGTTATTGTGATTCAGATACTTTGTTAACCTCGATACCTTATAGGTATGTGAATTATTACTGTATTTTCAGGGAGCCAGATTGTATTTGAAAACATGGGCTAAAATAATAAGTTATCTTATTCTGGGTTCTATGGAATTTACAAGAATTATAGCAGTCCATGGGATCCATAGGCATATATTTTTGTCATTATTTACACCACTGCAATGTTACCAGCATGACCGTGTTCACCTACCTTACCAAAGCAGAACTCAGTATCCTGCCCACCTCAATCTCTGCACCTAAAAACTTGAGAAGGAATTATTTAAAGTTGTTGAACCTACTTTGGAAACTCTGAGGTTGTTTTGTCCAGTTATTCCAGAAAGATTAGCTCGGTTGGTAAAGACTTCCTCAATACCCATCGTGGAAAGTATCTTCTCCAGTTCATAGTCACTAGAGATTGAAAATTTTGGCAAAAAGAGATTGATCTCTCTGTAAGAGAAAAAAAAAGAATGAGAAAAGAACACTGTGAACATTTTATTCTCTAGCACCTTTGGAATGAGTAAACCCATGAAACCATCTTGATATTCAGTTTAACAAGTATTTATTGAATGCATTAGGACCCTAGACAGAGACTCTTAGAGCTAGAAGTGAACTTGTCAAAACTCAAAGGGCCTTCAAATCTTGGCATGTTAGCATGTTGAAAGTTAGACTAGATAGCTAGTATCTTCATATCACAGAATGTTAGCCCACATTTTTTTTTTGTTGAATCCTCTCTTATGTTCTGCTGTATATGTGGAAATGTTATTTTTCTTTTCTTTTCTCATTTTGTATTTAAGTTTAAAATGAATAAAAGATTTACCAAAAAAAGAATGTTAGATCGTGAGAATGTCAGAATTGAAAAGGGCCTTATAGTCATTGAATGTTAGAACATAAAACATGAAACATTAAAGTTCTAAGGTACTTTAGAATATAGAGTATTTAGAACAGAGAATATTAGAATTGAAAAGCTTCTTAGCAATTACTTTGTTCAATCCCCTCATCATAAAAATGGGAAAGATAACCAATTATTTGACCAAGATCCCACATCAGAGTACCCAGCATTGTACAGAAGATGAATAGTATACAGTTTTTGGCAGACAGTTAGGTGACACAGTGGATAGAGATCTGGGCTGGGAGTCAGGAAGATTTGAGTTCAAATCTGACCTCATATACTACCTAACTGTGTGACCCAGGGCAAGTCACTTAACCCTGACTGCCTCAGTTTCCTCAACTGTAAAATAAGGATAATAATGAAAACAACCTACCAGGGTTGTTGTGAGGATCAAATGAGATAACATTTGTAAAGCTTAGCATAGGCCCTGGCACACAGTAGGTGATATATAAAAATAGCTGTTATTATTGTTGTTATTATTACCCTTGAGGAATCTATTTGGGGAAAAAAAACACCATAGTATAAAAATTTTGATGAACATTAGAAGACTATATTTGATAAGATCCATGAGTGACACCAATCTACATGTTATTAAGATTCAGAGGAGAGAATTCTTTGGAGTATTCAAGGAGGGCTTCAAAAAGGATAGGGGAACTAATATTTTAACCTCTCCATATAAGTTGCCTTTATTGGTGAATTAAGTGGAATAAGGGATAAGTTGGTGTTTGAACCTTCAGAAGATGTGTGTTTGTGTTTGTGTGTGTGTATATGTGTGTGTATGTTTTCAATCATTTTTCCTTTACAAGACTACCCAAGACACAGAAATGAAAGATCTATGGCTATGCTCATATTACTTTGGCCTTTCTAATTTCTATGTTCTAAGAATCCCTTCTAGTTCTAGAATTCTGTTTTAACATTCTTTAATCTAATTCTAAATCTTCCAGCTCTAGCATTGCTATGTTCTATTATCTAACAGTCCATGTTCTAAGAGATGCTCTAATTCAGACATTCTCTCTTCTCACATTTAAATTTTTTATCTCATAATCTCTATGAAAAATCTCAGGTTGCTGGAGACCACCTTAATGCAGTCCTCAGTAAATCAGATTTTTAAAAATGTTCTCACTTTTAGAAGAAAGGTGCAAAATAATTAGTAATAGGGATTTTGTTTAAAAGAAAAAAAATCCCACTTCTAACATTAGCTCTAAGGTTAGAGCTTTCTGCATATTTGATTGACTTTCATACTCAGAATGGTGACTATTGGTATCTGCAAGAGCCTCAATAATGTGTAAGACAGTCTATCAGTCAATAAACATTTATTAAACACCTACTATGTGCCAGGCACTATGCCTTTACAAATATCTTATTTGATCATCACAACTCTGGGAGGGAGGTGCTATTATCATCTCTAGTTCCAGTTGGACAATTCTCCTTTCTTCCTTCTTTGTTTCCTTCCTTCCTTCCTTCCTTCTTCCCTCCCCTCTTTCTGTCCATGTGGGGACTCATACCTTTACATGTGGGTACTCTACCCAAAGGAATAAAAATTTTGATTGCTGGAGCCTCACAAGATATCTTGGAGTTTGGGAGCTAGATTTTTTTTTCTCTTCTATACTTATTTATTCTATCATTTTTTTTAAAAAACTGGGACAATTAGCTCTTTTATCCCATGTTTCATTTATGTTTGCTTGAAATAGAGCTCTGGAAAACCAGGCTCTGATAAAGCCCATTGGGATTCAAATGGAACTACTTAACCATGCCCTAAATCCAAATCACTCTGGCTCTCACTGATTTGCCAATACTATGTCCCAGCCCAAGCCTCACTTGGTCATTGTTTGGGTTTTGGTGGCTCAGAATAACTGCAAATAGCAATTGTTTCTGTTTTGGCCAGAAACTTTGAGGGTCTTCCCCTCCCAGTTTAATTTTTTTTTTCTTGGAGTGGGCAAACTAAGGCCATCTTTGGCCTCATTTCTTACCTAGTCTTAAATCACTGAATGGGTATTGCTTCAGACAAACTGACACATGGGAAAGACCTTACCTTAAAAAGGTCAAGGTCTCCCACTGCATCAGAGGTCATCTCCAGTCCTCCTGTGTCTTGCCACTGTACTCAGATGGCTCAGGAGAGAGTGAGGCTGGTGACTTTGCACAGCCCTGCCTCACTTAAATCCAATTCACTTACAAATCAAGACATCACCCTCCTGTGTCATTGGTACTCTTCAAGAACAAAAGACAAACAACAATCCATGTGTTATTATCTAATGCTTATATTTGTATCTCCTAGCTTCCTGTTCTCTAGATGCCATACACAGTAGATGCATAACAGGTGTGTCATGAATTGAAAAATTTAGAATGTCTGAGTTGAAAGAAATTTTAAAGAACCATCTATCTAGTCAAACCCACCAGTTTTTGTTAAATAAGTCCAGAAAGAAGTGACTCAGTGAAGTCATTCCAGTGGCAGCTGTGCTGGGATTCCAACAAAGACCTTATGAACATTCTTTGCTCTGCTACTGACAACTGAATTGAATTGAAAGAATTAAATTGAATCAAATAAAATTGATTTATTTCTTAATTTGTCGTGGTAATAGATGTGCAATTGAGTTATTGATGAGTTGGTTTCCTCCTCCTGTGTCTTGGGGATATTATTGGTTTCTAAGAGTCCAGTAAAAACATAAATAGTCCTAGGATGGAAGGCAAGAACTGATTTCATTCTCCAGTTTGACTTTGTGGTGAAATAGAAAGAGGCTTAGATTGACAGTCAGAAGACTTGGAGTGTTGTTCAGGTTCTGGCACTGAATTGCTGAATGACCTTGAACAACTACTTAATCCCTCAGTTTTCTTATCTATAAAATGAGGGAAATGTTATCTACCTCTCAAGGTTGTCATGAGGAAGCATTTTGCAAACATCAAAGTTTTATAGCTTTGTGAGGTTATTTATTTATCAGATCTATTGCCTGTCTTCCAATGAAGTGACTTAGGTTCCTTTCTAATGCAATTTTTTGTTTGTTTGTTTGTTTGTGTTTTGGTATTTATGTAATTTACTTATGTGGTATGTCAGAAAGATTCCTGAATTTTGAATCGGTTTGAATCTCTGCTAGTTGTAACCTTGGTCAAGTCATTTTGGTTTTCGAGCCTCAGTTTCTGCACCTGTAAAATGAATTTATTTGATGACTTCTATGGTCCTTTCTAGCTCAAAAGTCTATATTGTAATTTTACTTATAAAAAAAGAATTGGGAAGGCACACGTCAGTTTTCGATATACACCTTCGCTGGGGTTATTGGCAAATAATTAGGCCCTAGGCGTATAAGAAGCACAAAAATGAACAAACAGAAAAAGCACCTAGATTTCCTTATTCTTAAGATTTTACTGAAGACTATTGTGGTATTTACAGTAAAGGATGATGTTTAGAAAATAATAGAGTCATTAGGGATGGAGAGAACATTAGAACACAGATTAAAATAAAGAATGAGTGATGTTAAAGCTGGATACTATGCTAGAGATTATCAACAGCAGATATTTACCTTTTTCGGAGTGAATTTTTCCACTTTTTCAGTACTTCTGGGTTGAGAGCATCTTCAACATTCTTCATTTTCTCTTCATCAGGAAGAATGAAAAGTGCTGCAGCATTGCCCTGATACTTCAACTCTACAACTGTGCAGAAAAGCTCCTTGTCTTGGAAAATACGGGTGTAAAATTCATACAGCTGCATCATGGGAACTTCAACAACCTTGTCTTTACTCACAAAAAATTTATCCTTTGTAGTGACATATGGATTGAATGGTGTTTGCCATTTAGCTTAAGAAAGGGAAGAAAAGATATAGGAAAATATTGTACATGAGAGTCATTTTATAGTAGTTATCTACAGACAGGGCAAGCTGAACTGGATACCTCTAAATCAGGGGCTCTTAATTTTTGTATGTGTCATGAATCCTTTTGGCAAAAGACCAGTGAAGCCTGAATAATATTTTGTTGCCTACATTTATAATTTAAGAAAATGCTAAAATTAGGTTAAAAGTCAATGGAAATGATGTACATTTTTTAAATCCAATTTAATGAAACCCCTGAGATCTCTCCAAGGACCCCTGGACTCAAATTTAGAATCCCTGCCCTAAATTGTAGACTCACAACTTTTTTTTTTTAGCTAGGATCCTGAAAAAAAAATCATTTAAACTACTCCCTCCCCTTTCCTCATGACATCATTTTCCTGCTCCACAGTTCTTGTTGGCATGGGACAGAAGAAATTTAGACAAGGAATATGAAAAAAAAAGAGAGAGAAAAAAAACCCAGAATCTTGTCCCAAAGGATCATGGGATCATAGATTTAGACAGTAAAAGAGCCCTAGAATTACTCTAGTATGGCACCATCTTTTTACTGATGAGGTAGATGAGCTTCATGCAGGTTAAATGACCAAACTCTACAAGGCATTCAAGTGCAGAGCCAGGGTTTAAACCTCAATTCTTTTGAGACATCCGGAGCTCCTTCCCCTTGGCCATGCTGCCTTTCTGGAGATGCTGGAGAATATGGAGACACTGAAGCAAATGATAATGGACTTGGAGCTGCAAGAGACCTCAGAAGCCATCTGGTCCAGCCACCTCATTTTACAAAATCTGGTCTATTTTGTCAGAGGTCACTTCAATTACAGGTCAGTCAACTGAATGAAATTAAGTAACGGGATGTGTAGAGAAAGGAACAGGGAGTGAGCTTATGGGTAGAAAATGAGAATCAAAACTGAAATTGAACCTGGAAAGATAAGTGGATCTAAGATAAGGAGAATAAGAGAATAAGTATTTATTAAGCACCTACTACATGCCAGGCACTGTGCTAGACACTTTACAAACATTCCATCATTTAATTCTTAGGAAAACTCTGTGAGGTAGGTGTTAATGTTATCTCCATTTTATAACTGAGGAAATTGAGTCAGAAAGAAGTTAAGTAGCCAGAGACCAGAACTAGGATCAATGGGTGAAAGTTATAGAACTTGAGTTTGGTTTGAAGTAACAACAACAAAATCTTTCTGATGATCAGATATACAATAGTGTAATGAGCTGCTTTGGCAGGTAGTGAGTTCACTATCATAAGCAATATTCCAGTAGACACTTATTGATTACTTGTTCTAAATGTTGTGCAGAGAAGTCATGCTTCATGAACTTGAAGAGATCTAAGCCTCCTTCCACTTTTTCAATTCTGTAATTGGCCTGGTGCTCTCCAAGTTCAGTGTTGACCTTTATGTGCTACCACCCCCATCCTGGTCCAGCAAAGTTTTGGAGAGCAGTGAGGTTAAATGGAAGATTATTAGTAAGAAGACCTGAATCTGAGCCCATAAACCACCACTTTGTAACAATGTGACTGAGCAAGTCATTTCTCCTCAGTGGGCTACAGTTTCTTCTGTAATGTAGGAATGATAATCCCTATCCTGTCTCTTTAGGATGGGCATTTTTTAGTTAACAGTAGAGCTAATAAATCCATATTACTCTATAAATGTTAGCTAAATTACTCCCCCAGTCCTTGAAAATCTCTTGCCTACCACCAACACTGTCCCTGACATTACCTTATAGCCAGAACAAGTTTTAGCCACAACTAGTCTTTGGCAATTCTGTGGGCACAGTGTTTGCAGGATCTCTGTGACTAACTAAATTGTTATCTCTAAACTATAGTAAAGACTAAAGAGTTGAAAACCCTTGACCTGAAGCAGCCTGCCAGGATAGGTTGGCTTTGCGGCTGGGGAATTCTGCCAAAGCAACCTCCCTTCTGTCAGAACAATTGCTGGTCATGTAGCCAGACCCCACAGCAAGAACTCTACCCAAAGAAGGAGAACTCCAAGTGTATCCTAGGGATGCAGGATGACCTTAGTGGAGTGATATTTTGAAATCTAATTAATGCAATAACCAATCATGGTTTCAAAACATTAACAGCAAAGCAGGCTTCCCTCCTCTCTTCAGGGGGCTGGTGGCATGTAGACATGGCACGAGGAATATTCTGTAAGTCATGGCCAATGTATTCATATGCTTTGCTTAACTTCTTTTTACAAAGGAAATTCTCTTGATGGCAAGAGAGTCATTGGGAAGAATCAGTGATTTTTTAAAAGAGCACCAATAACATATTTTTAAAGAAATGTTTTTCCATAGCCATTATAGCATACAAAATGTAATGGATCAGCAAAAAGGTGAAACTACCTTATCTACTGAGACACAGATAGATAGACAGGTTCAGGGAGTGAATTCAGGGTTCACTCTACTTTTAGAAGGACTGCAGACAGTATTGGTTGGCCTCACCAAAGAGGCTAACCCATAGAAGCAACTGCAAACTGTAATTTTGGTTTCTAGTTGGGATCGTCCCAGAAAGAAGGGAGTAGCCTGAGTAAATAATGAGAACCAGACTACTCTGGTTCATAGGCCAATTGTACCTCCCACAATAAATTAATGTCTTGGTTTTCTCATCTAATTCATTCTTTTTCATATGAGCTTGGGTAGCATGAGTCAAGAATCCCAGAGATTAGTTACTCTTGACTGAGTCAACCCAAAGAACTTGTGATCAGACTTTGAGGAATTTGACATGATTCTGGAAGCCTAGTGCCACCATCAGTCTCTTTCTCTTCCTATATGCTTTACTTTCTGCTGCCAACAATCTGTCACTTTAATGGTTTGGGATACAGAGTATGGACTGGTTGGTAGATGCCTTCCCAAAACAGAAAAGCCATGAAGTGGGAGTTAGGAGACTTGTGATGTCATTCTTAATTCACTATGTGATTCTAGGCCACTCATTTGCCCTTCCAATGTCTCAATTTCCTTATCTGCAAAATGAGGATAATTCCTGTCTTTACACATTCAATGCCAGGCACTACCTAACTCACAAGACTGTTGTAAGGATCACAGAAGATAATGTGCTAGAAGTTCCTTTTAAATCCATAAAGTCTACTGCAATGTGATATCATAATGTAATATTATCATCACTAATCAGTCAAGGGTCATTTAAACTCTTCCTGCCAAGTACTATGTCAAGTACTGGAGATAAAGAGAAAGGCAAAAACAGTCCCCGTCCTCAAAGACTTCACATTCTAATATGGGGAACAACACGGGAGCTACTAAGTACGTACAAGTCGGTTGCTCAATATCCTTCATTCTTGAAGAGAACCAAAATGACACTTCAATGTCAGGGACAAAGTACAATGTGTCCAACTATATGAGTAGATGGATGGTAATCTCAGAAGAGAAGGCACAAACAGCTACAGAGACTGGGAAAGGCCTCTTGCAGAAGGTGGGATTTGAGCTGGGTCTTGAAGAAAGTCAGAGAAGTCAGGAGGTAAGAGGTGAGGAAGGAGAGTATTACAGGTATGGGGAACAAGCCAGGGCACAGGCTTCAATTAGGAGAGGGAGTATCCTGGGTAAGGAACACTAAGTAGGCCAGATTAGCTGAATTTTAGAGTGTGTGGAGAGGAGTCAAATGTAAGAAGACTGGAAAGGTCGGAAGGGAAGAGATTGTGAAGGACTTCAAATGTGATATAGAGTATTAGTCCAACACATCATTACTAGTATTATGAGTCTCTCTCTGCCCGTTCTCATCCTTCATTCTCATTCTGCCTTTACTGTCTCAATTGACATGAGTTTTAAGCATTGGAATTGAGCCGAGGAATACATTTCCATGACTGCTACTAATAAATCAGATAGGCAGAAATAAGTGGACTTCTGCAGTTCGTTCACCTGCAAGTCCTAGAACTTCAATACTTTGGGAAACATAGTGTCGCATGGACATGGGGGAATGCACAGGTACATTTGGAGGCTGACTGTGTGACTGTGGGAACCCAAGAAATGCTACAGGAATGGTTTTTAGTTTTTTTACACATAAGATTTTATACATGAATCCAATCTCAATACTGAGGAATGGCCTAGGAATAAATAATCAGAGCAGAGGTAAATATCGAACTTGACTGATCACATCAAAGGAGTCAGAAATCATATTCTTTCACTTGAAATGTGTTAACAATCCTAAAGATACATGATATACAATGGAGAAGATGCACAATTCAAAACTACAAAAGAATAACAGTCTTTCATGAACAGTTATTATCCTCATTTTACAGATGAGGAAATTAAGACAGGGAAAGGTCAAATGAAAGGCTTAGGACTACACAGTGAGTCAGGGATGACAGGATGACATCACAAGTCTCCTAAATCCCAGATCCTGGCTCTTTTCTTTTGGGAAGGCTTCTTCCCACCAGTCCATATTGTGCAGCCCAAACCATTAAAGTAGCAGATTGGTGGCAGCAGAAAGTTTATGAAACAAACACATAGACACCTACATGGCTAGGTTGAAGGAGAAATAATGATGGAACAGTGATAGATGTGAGCGGGGCCAAGCAGGGAAGAAAATTTGGGTAAAAAGAGGAAGAGTTGGGGCAAGTGCTCTCTGAGAAAAAGAGTAGGAGAAGAGAAAAGATAGGGTGTCATGAAACAAGCCTGAAAATATCAAGGCACAGTTTACGGTCTGGAAGTCAAGAGAGAAGATTTTTAGTTCCATCTCTGCCATAAACTAACTCATTCCTAGAATACACTCCCAATTCCATATCTTCAATTCCATATCTTAGACTCTCTAGAGTCTAAGTCTTTTCAAAACTCAATTCAAGTACTACCTTCTGTTTTCATTTTTTTTGTTTCTTTGTTTTTGGGGGCGGGGCTAGGCAATGGGGTTGAGTGACTTGCCCAGAGTCACACAGCTAATAAGTGTCAAGTGTCTGAGGTCATATTTGAACTCAGTTCCTCCCAACTCCAGAGCTGGTGCTCTATCCACTGAGTCACCTAGCTGCCCCTAAGTACTACTTTCTGCATGAGGAATTTTCTGATCTTTTTGCTGCTAGTATTACTTCCTAAAATTATCTTGTATTTATTTTGTATGTATTATATATACATATATGTGTGTATACATACATACATACATATATATTCATTTATTTACTAATTTATTAATTCATTCATTTCTTTAAATTCATTTTGTTTTCCCTGAAAGGATTTAAGCTCCTTGAGCCTAATACAATAAATGGCATTGATAAATGCTTTTAAATAGATTGATTGACCTCCTCCACTTCTAACATTTCATTTTCTATAGCTATAAGAATATAATGGAATGGAAAGATGATAATAATCTTTCCAGCTGTAACATAGATTCTAAATTCTAACATTTACATCCTATGATTCTATTGCCCCTTCCAGTTTGGAAATGTTCTAGTTCTATGACTCTGAAGCCCTTGCTAACTCGAACATTCTATTGGTCTCAATTGACCAAAATAAACTGTTTCCAAGTTCCCATGCCCAGGGAGGGATGTGTCCATGCTATCTTCATCAATTGAATGTAAGTTCCTTGAGCACAGGAGCTTTTTCTCTTTGTATGCTAGCACCTACAGCTCCTAAGACAGAGCAGATGCTGAAGAAATGCTGATGGATGCTGCTGTAGCTACACCATAAGCAATCTTGGAATTAAACTAAACTGGGAAACACAAGCTGTAATTTGTTAAACTGAGACAGAAAAACAATTCTTCCTATCTGGGTGTGGTCCATTTTTTCCATACCCAAATTCTAACAACTAACTGAAGAAAGCACATTGGCCTTACAAGTGGTTTGCATAATCATATAGTTGGCTAAGCCAATACACAAATAGCCTGTGGTGCTGCACCATACCCTTTATTGGTGAGGAACTGGCAGTATTTACTGAATGTTAAAATGTTTATCTTTTATGAATCCAGATTCTAGAAAACCCCAGGGAGGAATCATGGAAGATCAGAGGTATGGTATAAGGAAAGACTGTTGGATTTCATGTAAGGAGATTGGAGATTCATGTAAGCTGTAAGGGAAAAAAGAGGGGATGATAATATTCACACATCTTCACATACACCTTGGGTAGGTGCTATAGATGTACAAAAAGCTGGAAACAGGGTTAATAGAAGACATTGGATCACATTTGGGAAATTCTTCCATGCTTCTAATGATTGGAATCTCTTAAATCCCATTTATATCCTACTGATGATAACATACGTAAATAATGAACAATCATGATCCCGAAGAGTTACTATTTCAGGTGACCAAATGGTAGACAGCAATAAGCTGCAGCAAGATTTGTACCTGAGAGAGAACATAAAATACATGAATGAGTGCATGCACTGCCAGAAAGGGAAATGAGGTTGTCATGTCGTGAGAGGGAAAATTAATAGAGAGAAAAGCCAGTGCTACTCTAACAACCACAACATAGCCATTAAAAAAAGCCTTTAACCCATAGGATGGGTCTATGGAAAATCTACGGAAAGACATGAACAAGAATTGCATAGAATCAAGAAGTATGGAAGGGTTGTGATCTGTACCAAAGAGAAAGTACCATGTCCTAGATTCCGAATCCAGAAGTGGGACTTATGATACAGGATGATAGTGAGAAAAATGCATTGAATACTTAAAATTATGTATAATTGTGAGTTATAATTATTGCCAGAAAAGTAAATAAAAGTGAAGTACCAGTGGCCAATCATCTCAAGGTTTCCAGTGAGCTATAAACCAGAAGAACAGAAAATTGGTAGGAGGGATTTTGAATTGGAAAGAAAGTAAGTTTATTTTTGCTGGAAGCACCATTGGCTAATGAAAAGTGATCATTGTGGTCCAGGCTTCATGGGTTTTGGCCATATACATCCAGAGAGAAGATTGTCCTGATGTCATCCTATAGCAGTAGGTGGAGAAGTCACCCAATAGGGCAGAACCAGTTGTCGTAAGCAACAAGTAGATAGATTTACTTCAAGAAAACCCACCAGAATAGGACAGGTCAAAGAAAAAAGAGAATTTCAAGGGACTGGAGTCATGCAAAGCTCCAGGGTGGTATAGGAAGCGCGAGGTAAAGAGGAGGAATTTTTTAAAGCTGGGTAGTGAGGGACTTCCTGCACAGGGATATAAAGGCTTCTGGGGACTTGTAGTCACAAAGGCTTAAGGTTGAGGAAGATGACTTCAAACATTTTGCAAGTAATATGAATCCCAGGAAGTCTACTCTTAAGAAAGTGAGAAGGGAAAGAAAAAAAAAATGTCTTGACAGAATTCTGGTCTCCTATCACTTTTAATACAAATTGACAATACAGATTAGCCTTACCAAATGGAGCCTAAATCAGATGGGAACCTAGAGCATAATCCAAAACCCAATCCAGATGGGACTGAGTCAGCTGTCTAGGAGGACAAGATCTGGAGAGGAGTTCATTCCATTCAAGAAAGAGGGAACTACAAAAGACTAATTCCTTGTATGTTTGTATCAAGGTCCAGAATCAACACATAACTTAACACCTTACAAACATCTTCTCTGTTCATTCTCATGACCCCTTCTGTGTTTCCTCTCTATTACACCTAGGATCATATCTAAAGTCCTGTGTCTGGCATGTAAAACTTCTCACAACCTGGTCCCTTCCTTCCTTTCTAGTCTTCTTACAATTCATTCCCCTTTCTGCACCCTACAATCCATCTCCACTGACCTTCGTGCTGTCTCTTGTTTAATGTCTCATTGCCCATTTCCATGTCTTTGCACTGGGCATCCCCCATGCCTGGAATCTTCTCACTCCTCACCTCTTTCTTTTAGTTTCCCTGGCTTCCTCCAAGACTCAGCTCAAATCCCACCTTCTGCAGGAAGCCCTTCTCAGTTCTCTCAGCTATTAATGACTTTCTCAGCTCATCTTTCACTTATTCTGTATAAATCTTTTATGCACATAGTTTTGTTTTGTTTTTCATGTGATTTCCTCCATTCCAAGCTAAATTCCTTGAGGACAAGGACTGTTTTGGACTTCCTTTATATTTTCAGTGATTAAAACAATGCCTGGCACATAATAAGTATTTAATGAACTCTTGTTGACCAATTGACCTATATATAGCCTGGAAGAGTAAGCACTGGGAGAAAGTTTGAGTCTTAGCTCTGGCACTCATTTCATGTGTCACCTGGGGCAAGTCCCTTTCCCTTACAGAGCCTATGTAGATGGTCTATCTATAAGGTTTCTTCCAGCCTTAATATTCTATGATCCCATGGTTACAACAAAAAAACAAAATGAGAATCTACAAGAATCACTGTATGTTAATTGTCAAGGCATCAAGCAGAAGTGGAGGGAAAACTAAATCCTCTTTACTTTTTTTTTTCCAATTGATCATAGATGTGAGAGCTCATGCAGTTCAACTCCCTTACTTTACAAAAACAACAATGACAAAACAAAAACCCAGGCTCAATAAGGAAAGTGACTAGTCCAGAGCCACTGAGAGATTCAAACCCAGTTCCTGTAAATCTAAATCCAGTAGTTTTGATCATGAGGACCCTAGGCCAAGAGGAAAGGTGATAGAAGCAAGAAGCTAGTAGGAGACTCCAGTGGAGCAAACCTTGGAGGCTTGCCTGTGAGAAAATGTGTGAGCTCATGGGCCCAACAGTCTTATAATTTTTTTTCCCTTGAGAATAAACCATCCAAATGAACCCATAATTCTTACCTTTTAAGACTATGTAATTCACAAGAATCATTACTGTGTTTTCATCAAGTCTGTCAAAAAAATCCGTGATTTTCCCTTTGGTTTGCTTCTTTACATAATCATTGATCTGTTCTGTTGCCAAATTAGAGTTCTGGAAGTTAGCAGGGAAAACTTCTGTTGAATATAGAAACATGCTGTCTTCCCGGAACTTCTCTAGCAGTTCCAAACTTTTGTTGATAAACAAGGCATTGCCTGTGGTTAGTTGGAACATCTTATTTGGGTGATTGAGGGAGCGTATGAGCTGCTGAAAGCCTCTGTGGATTTCAGCCTCTGGGGTCTCTGTCAAGTTGAATCTCAGGCCCTCTAGGATCTGAGTCTGGGTGGTTTCTCCAGCCCCCAGAGACAGGAGGGCAAAGGCAGTTGATATACTCAGGGGAGAGAAAAGGACATTTTTGTCGGGGTTTTTTGAAACAAGCAACTTGAATAGATCAAACGCAAATTCATTGCTTCTGTTGCGTAGTATAGAAAAATCTGAATTTATCCATTGCTCCTCCTGGATCTGGTCACCAGTCTGAGCTTTCTCTGGGTTGGGGTAACACAGCCCAGTGACACAGAATACAGCCACGAGCAATCCCAAAATATAAGCAGGCTGCATTCTTCCAACCTCTAATCTGTGGAAAGGAAGGATTACTAAAGTTATTACTTGCAAAATGCTAAGCAGGACTGGACTTGGGCAGCTAGGTGGTACAGTGGATAGAGCAGGGGTGAGGAACCTGCAGCCTCGAAGCCACAAGTGGCTCTCTAGTTCCTCAAATTTGGATTCAGTCAAAGGGCCACACTTGAGGACCTAGAGGGACACGTGGCTTTGAGGCCACAGGTTCCCCACCTCTGGGGTAGAGTGTTGAGCATGGAGTCAGGAAGACTCATCTTCCAGAGTTCAAATCTGGCCTCAGACACTTACCAGCTGTATGACTCTGGACAAGTCACTTAACTCTGTTTGCCTCAGTTTCCTCATCCATAAAATGTGCTGGAGAAGAGACTCTTGTCATTATCAGTCCTTTATTTACTCTCAGGGTCAGAGATAGCTGTAGAAAAAAACTGTAAAGTTTGTCTTTGGTCCCTGCCCATGAACTCCTTTTCCTCCTTCCTTGTTCTCTTTTCAATCCTCTCATTTCCCCACACACCGGCAACTCCCTCACCTCCCTATATAATATCTCATTGCTACTAATACCTACTAAGATATTAACTGATAACTGAAGCTTGGCTTAGTGCATGACCTTTCCCCACTGAGATATGTGCATTTAAATCAGGGTTACTCAAAGACAAAAAGCCTTTGCAGACTCAAAGGAATTGATTGATCATTCCTTGGTACTGATGGGGTGGTTTAAGACAATGATGGGATATTTCAAATCATAATCTATTCCTAAAAATACATGAAAGATTGGATGGATACAGAGGGGACCTTAGAACCAAGGTCATCTCATCTTCTTATGTTATAGATAAGGAAGAAACTGATGCTCAGAAAAGTGATGACTTGTGATCACACAGATACTTCATCATAGACCTAGAATTAGAAGGATCTTTCATCTAATTTAATCTACTTTAATATAGAAAGGGACTTTGTTGTTATTGTTCAGTCTTCGTGACCCCATGGACCATACTGTCCATGAGATTTTCTTGGCAAAGACACTGGAGCAATTTGTGTTTCCTTCTCCGGTGGATTAAGGTAAACAGAGGTTAAGCGACTTGCCGAAGATCACACAGCTAGTAAGTGTCTGAGGCTGAATTCAAACTCAGGTCTTCCTGACTCCAGGCCCTGTGCTCTATCTACTGAGTCATCTAGCTTCTTGAAAGAAATATAGGGACCTTAGGTATGATATAATTCATTCCTTTCACTTAGCAGTTGAGGAAACTGAGGCATAGAGACAGGAGAGGACTTACCCAAGGTCACACAGTGAGCTAGTGAAAAAGCAAAGATTAAAATCCAGGTCTTCTGATTCCTTGTTATTTCTTATATACCCCCTCCTCCTAGGCACTTGCCTTTGATTTGTTCATTCCCAAGAAACTGATCAATTCCCAGGAGAACAAAAAAGTTCTAGTATCATAGAAATGCAACTCAGTGCTTTATATTCAATCAAATAATATATAAGCAAGCATCTATTAAGTACAAGGGTATAGTGATAAGTGTTTTAACAACCAGCTGTCCCAGAAAACAAAACTTGTGCTCATGACACACTTTGAAGTTTGATCTGCATTATTACCATTTTTTCTATCGCTTTCTTTACTTTAGACAATTGACAAAAATAAATAAATAAATAAACCAAGCTCTGATTTGTAGCTGGTATAGATTTCCAAGGGCTAAATGCTCACATTGAAAATGTAACAGCTGGTTCTCCCAAACTCAGCACACCTGGATTAAGTGCCGACCGTGTGTCAGGCACTATGCTAGTTTCTGGGGACAGAAAAGTAAAAACACAACAGCTTTGTGTCTCAAATATCAGTGAAGTAGTCTATCCTTACCTCCTCTTTAATGTAAGGCACCTACTATAGGGAAGTGAGAGAAAACTTTGTCTTCACCTCCAGGCTAATGACAATGAAAATTCTAAATGAGCTTGTGTATTTTAAAATATATTGTCCTTTTACATCACAGAGATGATTCAGTTCTCCACCTCCTCAAAAAAAGTCATCAGTAGGGGGCCAGTGTAATTGAAAAAAAAAAAAAGGTCGAGACATTGAAAATCATCTTGCCATCCTGTGCTTACAAAATCAGGTTACTTTGGCATAGGCGAGCCCTCAGTAAATCACAGACGTTAAAGAAGTCAGAACTGGAAGGAATTTTAGAATATAGAATGTTTGAAAACTAAATACAGACTGTTAGAAATTGAAGGCACCTAAACCAAAGAACGTCAGAATTGACAAGACCTTGGAGTATATAATGTCAGACCTGAAAGCTAGATAGACCTTTAGATCATTATACTTATTCTTATTTCCATATCACTGTATGGTTTACAAAGCATTTCCCTCAAAACAACCCCAATAAGGTAGGAAAAGCAACTATTAGTATGCACATTTTATGGATGAGAAAACTGAGGCACAGAGTTACACAGCTAGAAAATTACCCTGCTTTTCTGCCATGATGGCTTCCCTTCTAGTTCGTGGCAGAGCTGAAATGAGAAGATAGGTTTTTGGTTGAATGAATTCCTAGGGTGTACTGGAAAGAGTCCTGGAGTTAATCAAAGGACCTTGAATTTGAATCATGATTCTACTACTTAAATCTGTGTAAATTTAGGCAAGTCCCTTTCCAACTGTTGGCCTCAGTTTCTCCATCAGCAAAATGCATTTAATATTCTCTGATTCTATTAGCCAAATATCAAAGAGCAAAGAGATTTATTTACCTTAGCAGAGAACATTGAAAGAGAAAAACATTACTTACCACTCACTCCCAAAGTAAACCGAGCTGCTCACTTTGCTCACTGTCAATCTCCACTCTTATTTGTCACTAGAAAGAGCTCCTCCCCCAGTTTAGTAAGCAGAAAATGGAAGCACACGGGGACTTTTTAGTGCTGACATTGGCAAAGCGATGATTTCCAGTAAATTGATTTTCCCATTTATCTGCCTATTCCCCACATAGAGATTAAGGCCATATATTTAAGCCATGTGTTTCACAATGCATTTTCCCATATTTGATTTCAGTCAGAAGGAAGAATTTAATCACAGAGCAACAGGAAAACGGGGGAGGCCAAAATCAATTAGTTACTTAATCCATTTAGGCAATCAGAAAATTAAGATTGTACCTGTGTTATCTTGGCCAGATTTATTGCAAATTCGGGGATTGTGGATAAATTAGGGATTGTTTCAGCCTTGACAGAGTACCTCAGTGAAAATTATTTAAATTATGCTCGTATTAACTACTCCATTCCTAAAGGTACTGGGTTTTATTGTTAATACTTATTTTTTTTTGAGTTTCGTTTTGATGTGTTCAATGTCTAATAGTTAATTTATTAGATGACAGAATCAGAATCCTAAAAAGTCATAGAAAATCAGATTCAAAAGGAACATTGGAAATCATCTTCTCCAGTTCTTTCATTTTACAGATAAAAAAATTGAGACCAGGAAAAAGAGAATAACTTGACTGAGTTAGAGGTGGTGTTCAAACCCAGGCCCTCTGTCCCCTGATAAATCCAGGACTCCCTCCACTACACTGAGTTACTCTTGAAAATTTTCAATCACTACATAAATGCTAGCTGGTATTACATAGGCTTTAGGGTTTGCAAAGTGCTTTACGTGCCATATAATTTGATCCTCCCAATAATTCTGGGAAGTAGGTACTACTATTATCCCATTTTATGGATGAATCAACTGAAACAGACACAGGCTAAGTGATTTGCTCAGGGCCCCACAGCTAGTAATTGTCTGAAGCAGGATTTGAACACTCCTGAGTCTTAGTCTAGCATCCTGTGCACTGACAGCTAGATACAGTATCCGAGGCAAGGGAGAACTGGCTCCACTATCCTTTGTTCTGACCATATCAAGTCTACAATACTACATCCTGTTCTGGGCACCAGAACTCAGGAAGAACTTTGATAAATTGGGTTATATCCAGAGGACAGAAACTATGATAAGGAGAGGACTGAAGATGGTGCCAAATGTGGATCCGCTGAAAGAACTACGAATGTTTAACCTCAAACATAATTTGTGTCTTCAGATAGTGGAAGAGATGTTCTATGAAAGAAATTTAAAATTATTTTCATAGATATTGGAAGGCAGAATTGGAACATATAGGTGGAAGGTATAGAAAGGTAGATTTCAAGTAAATGTAAATGTAATATTTCCTTTGGACTATCACCCAAACATGCACTTACTTACATGTTGGGTCCCGCAGTAGGCAGCTGCTATTGCACTAATTTTGTGGGTCTTTGTCTCCGAGCACTATAGCTTAAAACTCTACACGGTAGGTTTTCCATTAACAGTCAGGTTAACAGTAAGCTAGTTTTATAAATATTTTTTATTCTTAATGTAAACACTAAAAATTAATAAATAAATATACACAGGAAAAACCTCAAGAGGATTCTATATGAAACCAAGAATCTCTACTTCATACCACTTTTTTTCTATGATGTGTATAGTATCTAAAATATATAACACACTTGAATATACATATATAAAACTAAAGGGAAGCTAGGTAGTACAATGGATAGTGTGTTGGGCCTGAAGTTAGGAATACTAATCTTCCTGAGTTCAAATCTGGCTTCAGATGGTTAGTAGCCATGTGACCCTGGGCAAGTCACTTAACCCTTTTTGCCTCAGTTTCCTCATCTGTAAAATGAGCTGGAGAAGGAAATAACAAATCACTCCAGTATCTTTGCCAAGAAAACCCCAAACGGGGTCATGGAGAATCAGACATGACTGAAATGACTAAACAACAGAAAATAAAAAATGCTCTAACATATATCTGATATATACTGATACATATATATGTATAATAAATATATATCATAAAACATAAAAATATCATATATTTTTATAAAATATATAATAAATTTCATATATTACTTTAAAAACTATTCTGCTTGTATATGCTTTCTTTTGAACTGAGAAGTCTATACATTCTTAAAAATGTGATTATGATCTGGGGGGGAAGGGAACATTACTATTGCTTCTACTCTTTCTTCTCACTCTCTCCCTGATTTAAAACTAAGAGAGACAGAAATTTAAAAAAAAAACCCTTGTAATAAATAAGCACAGACAAGTTAAATAAATCCATTAAGAAGCCACATTCAAAAATGTTTATCTCTTTCTGAACTTTGTGTCCATTACCTCTCTGTCAATACATGGGTAACATACTTCAACATATATCCACTGGAGACATGATTGACCCTTGCATTGATAGAGTTCTTAATTCTTTCTATTTGCTCATTTTCCATCCTATTTTTTGACTTTTAACTCTGTGCTAAAGCGAGGCTCTGCTTCCAGAGTGGAGGGGATACATTCCCAAGCTTCAGGTTTTTTGTGCAGCTATTTTCAGAGGTAATTTTAAAGACCTGTAAGTTTTTCAGTTCTTCCAAGGTAATATGATCTATAGAGAGGTATGTTTACTACTCTCCTGTACTGTGCACTGGTCTTTTAGGGACCACAAGCACTCTTTTCCACCCTGGAACTATGACCTGGAACTATTGCTCCTTTTTGCCCTGGGACTGAGACCCAGGATCGCAGCCCAGATCTAAATACGGGCAAAGCAACAGAATCTTGCCTCTGGTGCTAGCAAAGGGACCCCTGTAATCTCCTTCTGATCAGTTGTCCAACCCCTTTACCCTCTATGGACTGAGAGCTCTGGAACCAGCAACTGTTGCCACTGATTCAGTCACCCCAAGGCCTGCTCCTAGTTTGCTGGGATCCAGTCTGTGCCAGTGTGGCCTGTGCTGAATTGTGCTCCTCTCTGACCCTGCTGAGACAAACCTTTCCTGCCAACTTTCTAAGTTTTCTTGGGCTGGAACCATTGTTTCACTCCATCTTTTTGTGGGTCCTGCATATGTGTCTTTATATATATATATTATATATATAATATATATATAATATATATAATATATATAATATATATAATATATATATTATATATATTATATATATATATATGGATATGGATATATTCCACTACATGTTTATACACACATTTCGCAGATATATCTGTGTACATAAAGAAGTAGCAGAGTATAGCCTTAAGCTGAAATACCTTGAATCCTAACTGCAAATACTAATCAACTGTGACCTTTAGCAAATTACTTCACCCATCCCAACTGTCAATGTCAACATCCTACACACAGGTATCCAGGCTCACAAATTTGGTGTCATTCTTAACTCCTCACTAGCACTCATCTCACATATCCAGTCTGTGGCCAAGTCCCACCATTTCTCCTATATATCTCCTCTTTTCTGATACTGCTGCTATTAGGTGCAAGCCATCATCACCTCATCCCTGGACTATTGCAGTAGCCTTCTGTTCTCCTTAACCTGAGTCTCTCCCCCACTCTAGTCCATTCTTCACTCAGCTGTTAACGAAACAGTCTTCCTAAAGTAGAGATCTAACCACTGTCACCCTCTACCCCATTCAATAAACTCCAGTGATTTCCCATTATTCCAGGTCAAAAATAAAATTCACTGTTTGACCCTTGAGGACCTGGCCCCTTCCTACCTTTCCAATCTTCTTAAATTTTACTCCATTCCATGTACTCTGAGATACAGTGACACTGGTCTTCTTTGCTCATTGCTACATGTAAATTCCCATCCTACAGTAAATTTACCCTTTAGAAAGCACTGTTCATGAGGTGATTTTCTGTTTTTGCTTTTTTCTTTGCCTTCAGCTAAATTCTGCCTCTCTATAACTTCCACTCGCTATTCTTCATTGTGTCCACTGGAGATAGGACAAATCTAATCCAACTGTGTGATTCTATAAATAAATGTCACTTTGAGATGATAGCCCCAGGGACATACTCTGCTTTTCAATGTAGTGATTCCACCCAGTTAAGGCAAGATCACTTTATTTTTTTTTTATTTTGGGCAATTGAGGTCAAGTGACTTGCCCAGGGTCACACAGCTAGTAAGTGTCAAGTGTTTGGTCTGAGGCCGAATTTGAACTCAGGTCCTCCTGACTTCAGGGCCAGTGCTCTATCCATTGCACCACCTGCATGAACACTTTAATTGGAAAGCAGAACACACAGGGCTGGTATTCCAAGGATTGGTTCTTCAGCTGAGTCCTTTTCCCATTGTGCCACACTCTTCAAAAGTGGTCCATTGGAAGAATGAAAGATTGAAAACCTCTAGTCTAGAGGGGACATTATTCAAATCAATGATGCTAGTGTTCACTAAGGTCCTAGTTGGGACCATGACCTGTGTAGAATAAAAAAAGAATTATATTTCATGTTTCTTGCCATGGAATTTTTTTCATTTCAAATGAAGCTGAGGGTAAGTGATATTTAAGGTCTTTATAACATTTATATTCTGTATTCTAAGGTCCCTTCCAAGTCCAGCACTACAGGATTCTGTGTTCTAAAACTATTTTTAAGGTCTCTCTCAGCTCTATACTTACATTGTTTGCTGGGTCCTTTCCTTATTCACTTCCCAGCTGCCCTCCCTTCCCCTCACTTCCAAAAGAATCACACTTGGCAATCTTAAAGAGTTAACTTCCCTTCAACTGCTTGCTTCTCCACCTCTCCTCCCATCCTAGGATCTTTTCTACTGTCTCCTAATCTCACCTCCCATCACATTTTTTCATGATATTATAGCAGTTTGTGAGAAAAGAGAACTTGCATATTATCAATATATGCTCCTCTTTTTAAATATTTAAAAAAAAAACTGAAGCCCAGAGAGGGAAAATAACTTGCCTTCCCACAAGAAGGTCAAAATAAAAAAAAAAAATTTTTCTCGATCTAAATGTAATGTTCTTTCCATTATTCTATTCTGCCTTATTCTACTCTAACCCACCCCTCAATGTCCACTGTGGGTTATAGTGAATTATTTAAAAGCATGATAATGATCACTA